GTACAAAAATTGTCCACAAAAAAAAAAAATTTTTAATTCGGGAATAATTATTTTTGGGGGGAAAGGGGGGGAATGGGGGGAATGAGGAATGTGAGGGAGGAGATGTGAAAGATATACGATCTGTGTGATGGAAGTTGTAAATACTATTTTTTTTTTTTTAGACAATAAAATTATTCAGAAATTAAGTGAAAAAAACCATACATCTTTCTATATTATTACCTTCTATCCAAGAAAAAGAAAAAAAAAAATGAAATGAAATGAAAAATGGAATGAAATGATTTTTTTACTATTATTATTAATGTACTAAATTAAAAATATATATATATTTTTTTTTTATTAATTAAATATTAAGATTCTTCCTTAATACTATGACTGATAGAAGTACCCGCACTTTGAAATTCAGTTTTCATTTTTCGTATCTCACGATATGAAGGTGAATCTTTGTAAGCGATTCCTGCCTTCATTGCAGCTGCTAATCCTGTAAAGAGAGCATTTCCAACTTTTTCATGAACGTTATATTGTTGATCAATCTCTAATGCCAAATTAATTCCAGTTCTTGATATTTCCCATGCTTTATCTTGAAGTCCGTAAGTTTCATCAATTTTTTGAATTTTCTTCATGGTATAATTTACTGTTGCCGATATTGCATCAGGAATTGGTGATTGTTTTAATGCGACAGCAGATGTGATAGCAGCTTGTATAATATTTTCAGATATAGCATTTGTACTAAAAGCTGATTTATATTTTTCGCGTTCGGCAGCTTTGGCAGCTGAGGAAGCATTAGTCGATTCCATGAAATCATCAGTTAATCCTTCTCGATCCATAAAATCTCTTAATTTATTCTTCAACGCGTCCTTTCGAGATTGATTAGAGTGAACTATGGAAGTGAATAAAAAAAATAATTTTTTGTTAAAAAAATTATATATTTATATATTTATATATTTATATTTATATAATAAAATAAAATAAAACTCACTTGGTAAAGCATCTAACATATTTTCGATTGCAGTTAAATAATAATCCATAGCGACATCATGATTTCCTTGATTATCTGCTTGAACAGCAAAAGCAGATAAAGTGATAGCCTCATCAACTTTCTTTCTGTTAATTTTATTTGAAGATTTCTTTTTTCGATGATGATGAGAGGAAGATGCGGAAGAAGGTTTAGAAATAGGTTGAACTGAAACAGAATTTGAGTTACCCATATTTGATACCATTACTCTTTGAGGAGCAGTGGCAGCAATATTTGCAGAAACAGAATTTTGTTGTTGTCTTTGAGTAGTTCTTCTATCTCTAGGACGTTTATTTGAGTGAGTTGGTTGTTGAGGAGCAGTTGGAGCAGTTGGAGCAGTTGGAGTAGTTGTAACAAGATCGTTTGAAGTAGGTTCGATAGAGGTAAGTTTAACTTCTTGTTGAGAAGGTTGTTGAAAAAGACTAAAACCAGTAAACGAGGATGGAAATAGTGGCATGAACAAACTTTTTACATTTTTACTTTGTCCATGATAAAAAGCGGCAGCTGATGGTGTATCAATCATTGTTTATGGATTGATTTATATTAAAAATAAAGTTTTTTTTTTTTTATATATATATATATAGTTTGAAATTGAATGGTGCTACGCTATTGTTTGCAAAAAAAGAAGAAATCTAAACTAAGGAATTTTAAGGAATTTATATATAAAATAAATAATTTTTTTTTTTTTTTTTTTTTT